TTATGTGCGTAGTGAACGAGAACACAGGTGAGGGCAACCAAATTGTATTTATTATCGCAAATTACAGAGTTACTCAGTAAAATAGGAAAACCATATCGTAAATTGTTAATTTGCAAAATATCAATCCATCATATCGAACTGGACTGTTCCTGTTGCAAACAACATCTAATCCATTGTCATTGACATTTCACTGTTCGTGCTATTTCATACAAATCCCATTGTGTTCCCGCTCTTCTTCCTTTCTCTTGATCTTCCCCAATCATCTGCTTGCTGCCAGACATTATAACGTTTTTACTCGCGTCATATACTACTTATAAGTAGCACGAACCTCATGTGTAATCGTATATTATTAGTCATAAAGATGAATCTCTTTATAGTGTGTATATTAATCTTATGTTAATTTCTATCTATGCAATCAACTAGGTTGCAAGTGAAGCAGTAAATCACTAATGAAAAGAATAAAATTACTAGATTCCTCCTATCTATTCATCAAAATATTATTATTCTCACGGTTCTTCCTTTGATTTTATAATGTAATCGGTGATGTGAATAGAAATTACATGATTATTACTATTGAAATATCATATATATATGTATATATGTATATATATTTATTGAGTTAAAGAGGTTCGTTTAGATTGGTTTAAGTTGTAAGTTGTACTCGTCACAGATTGATTTTATTTTGGAACAATATAATGAAGTCCCATAGTAAGATGAAACAGATATCTAGTACGATCTTGTATTCAATGGTACTTTGAATCAGTTAGTCAGTTAGTCAGTCAGTTACAACGTAGAACTTTGTACGGACATATATTAGTTGAAGTTGTCATGTCATATTAGCACAACGACACAATTATGTCAATTCGAATCCCATACAACTAGAGATAATAGAAGTATTGGCAGTGATCGAGAAGATTAAGTGTCCAAGAAATTATTCAAGGAGTATAATCCAATGAAATGAATTTAACATGAGAGGATGATAAAGATGATGAAGGGAATTCAAAAGATTCGAATGTAACGCATTCGAAACCGAACTCTATTATCTCTTAGTTTCGTTTATCAGTTTGTCTTAATCTCACGCTGGCTTTATATCTGGTTGCTATCTATTTATTCGTATATTGCATATGAGTACATTCTGTGTGCTTACTGAGTCGTCGGCTCTTCATTTTCTCTTGTTGTTTCTTCTTCCAGATAGTCTCATACGTTGCTCCTCACATCCCTACTAGCACACAAGGTACCTTCAGGCTAAACGCAAACCAACCAAAGGCTGAAGTTACATGAATTTCAGAGATCACAAAGAATGGATGTACATATGCTGTTGCAAACGATTTTCAGCCATATCATTCAAAGTCTTTTAACCATCGGTTACTCTTATCTCCCAGACACCAACTAGGTAGTATACATCTACCAAGATGTCTCAATTCAGTTGGATTTGTGCTTGTGTGTTGTTTGGTTTGGCCGCCCCCCCCCCAAGCTTTCATCCAGCCTACTTTTACATTGGAGACGATGACTACAACCAAATTACTCAAATGTACATTTTGTCCTATATTTGATACTTATTACTTGGACGAACTTACATCCCACACACACATACACACACTCAAAGACCTCTAACCAGTATTGTTTGCTTCAAATATGATAAGAATTCAAAATTCAATAATCAATGAAATGGTGTTTTATTATTGTCAATTGAAATTCAATAGTGGTAGACATAATAGGAGTATTGGCGGTAATCGAGAAGATTAAGTGTCGAAGAAATTATTCAAGCAGTATAATCCAATGAAATGAATTTAAGATGAGAGGCAGCTGAAGATGATCAGGAATTCAAATGATTATAATTTCAGCGATCACAAAGAATGGATGCACATGTGTCATTGCAAACGATTTTGAGCCATGTCATTCAAGGTCTCTAACCATTGGTTACTGTTATATCACAGACACCAACTAGGTAGTATGTATGCATCTACCAAGATGACTACAACTAGAGTTCGAGATGTACATTTCGTCCTATTCGGTACTTATCACCCAAAAGAACTTGAACCTCAGTACTGATGTACACACCCACACATGCACACACTCGAATTTCTCAACCCGATATTGTTCACTTCGGTTACTGTTATATCACAGACACCAACTAGATAGTATACATCTATCAAGATGCCTCAATCCAGTTGGATTTGTGCTTGTGTGTTGTTTGGTTTGGCCACCCCCCAAGCTTTCATTCAGCCTACTTTTACATTGGAGACGATGACTTACAACTAGAGTTCGAGATATACGTTTTAACCTATTCGGTACTTGGACGAACTTACATCCCAATGTTGATGTACAGTCAGTCAGTCAGTCAGTCAGTCAGTCAGTCAGTTGCAACGTAGAACATCGTACGTATGTACATCAGTTCAGGTTGCCATACCCCATTATTAACACAGAGAAGCAAATTTCAAATCAAATCCTATAGTGATAAAGATAGTAGAGGTATTAATGGTAATGTAGAAGAATAAGGTTCGAAGATATCATTCAAGAAGTATTATTCAGTCAGATAAGGTTAGAAAGACAAAGGTAGAGGTGTTGACGATTGCAGAAGATTAGGATTTGAGAGAGCTCAAAGAATGAATGCACCTGCGCCATTGTAAACGATTCTGAGCCATGTCATTCAAGGTCTCTAACCATTGGTGACTTTCGTCTCGCGGACCCCAACCAGGTAGCCTACATCTACCAACATGACTCAGTCCACTTGTCAGTGACTTCATAGATTTCTGCCATGTTTTGGTTTGGCCGCCCCTAACTTTCTTCCAACCTACTCCTACATTGCAAAACATAGCTCGTCGAGGCAGTCGGTGGTTAGGCACTCGTAACACATGTCCCAACCACCTCAACTGATGAAGTTTCACCACTTCATCTATTGATCTGCCATCCTTACAGTTGATGTACACACACACTTAAAGACCTCTCACCAGTATTGTTCACTTTAAACATGATAAGAATTCAAAATTCAATAAAATTCAATGAAATGGTGTTTTATTTTAATTATCATTATTATTGTTTGTTCAACAACAACAACAGCACTAGAAAAAAAAACAAGAAAAAGAAGAAGTTTGCAATGCAATTTTTGAATTTGCATTACAATATAACATTTTATTTTTGAGAAGAGATTCACTCTTATCGCTGAGTACATTCAGATTCATAGTAATAATAATCATCATGGTTATAATGAATGAGATTGACAAAGGAATGAAAATATGAATTTTGTATATATATTTATATATATTGCCCCAGAAACAAGGAAACAAGAGGAAATAGTAATAATCCAATTCGAATTATCAACAGACAAGTTGTTGTTCAAAGAGAAGTTTGACAAAACAATCTATTTTGCGGAGGGGGGGAGGTTGCGAACGGTAGGGAGATCGGAAAAACAAAAACTGTAAACTGTTTGTAAAAATAAATTGCATCAAAGATGTATTGCTGAGTGTGTGTGTGTGTGTGTGTGTGTGTGTGTGTGTGTGTGTGTGTGTGTGTGTGTGTGTGTGTGTGTGTGTGTGTGTGTGCATAGGATAGAATTTTCGAATACTTATATATATATACATGATGAAAGAAAGATAAATAAATTTTGGAATTCTGTCATTTTTTTCATAAATATCACTTAGTTTTGATAAAGAAAATGAAAAATACAGTACAGTAATTTATTCATTACAACTACTATAGAAGAATAGGGAATATACTACTGTTATATGTCAGTAGTATTCAGTAGTATTCATTTGTAGAATGTTAAAAAATTACTTGAGAAACGGGGGGGAGGGAAAATAGATGCACTTTTTTCTACACCAGACAACATCGAAATTAATTTATTTTTAAACAAAATTGTGAAAGAGAAAAGTAAAAGAAATTCTTCATTATGTTTCAAATAACTACAAAAATACTACTACTAGTAGTAGTAATAGTAGTAGTAGTAGTAGTAGTAGTAGTGATAATCAAAGTTTACTATTAAAAATTTTATAGATACCAATAGACTAGCATTCATCCTCGTCGTCATCATCACCATCCTTCTCGTCACCATCATCAACTCTGTCTCAATATGCATTCAAGAATCAATACAGCAGTTTAAACGAATTCAACTGGACTATATTACTTTCTTCTGTTATAGACAATAGGTGTGTGTGTGTGTGTGCGTGCGTGCGTGTTTATTATTATTATTATTATTATTGACTTATTGTATTTTAATTTTCATGTATTTCAAGTATCAATTCTCATAATCATGGACGATGATGATTTACAAAATGTTTGTTTTAATTTTCATTGTAATATGGAGGAGTAGGAGGAGGAGGAGGGAAAATCAAAATATTTTCAAATTTTTTTTTTTTAAATTTTCTGTACAAATAAATATCATCATAATTCGAATTGTAAATTTTTTTTTATTTTCAGGGAAGAAAGACACGCCTAAATTAGGGTTTAAAAATTTTTGAATGTGTACAATGAAGTCAAAAAAAATGCAAAAATGTTAGCTATTCTACTCTACTCTACACTACTTTACTGGTCATTGAATAAGTAAGTTATTTATGCTTGCTCCCTTGCTCTCTCGCATTCGATTGCTCTCGTGCTACACACACACATAGATTTAAACAAACTATCAATGAGAGTTTTTTCAACAAAAAACAAATCCGCCCTGTTACTATTGTTAGAAATTAAAAACTGAATTCAATTGAATTCAACGTTATTCATTGTTAGTGTGTAGGTGTGGGTGTGTGTGCGTGTGTGGGTGTGTGTGTGATTTCATTGAACAATTGAACACATGATATAACAGAAATCGAAATTTACTTGAAAAGTGTAGATAATTTCTTTTTTTCTTTCGAAAATCATCTCTCTACAATCATCAAATTTACAATGATCACATTGAAAATTGAATGAAACTGAATCAATTTAAAATATGTGTATAACTTTTCATTTGTCAATAATTGATCAGTAGTATTGAACAGTATTTTTGTTAGCATTGTATCAACCAATCACAATCATGGAAATACTCTTAATTCTGAATGATCTAAATGACTGCTACTTCGTTGTGTTTTCATTGAATTCAATGTTTGATTCTTCATCATCATCATCATAGGATAATTACCGCCAAGATAGAATTCATTCTCATTATCAACATCATCATTATCATTATTATTCATTGAACCTCTTGAATGATTCATATTGAATGATGAATCAGCGCACAGTTTGAATTTATGACGATTTAAACTATTATTATGCACTGATTGGTCAGATGATGAAGTGGTTGAGGCCATTCTAGTGGAATCGATTAAATTATTGTTGTTATTATTATTAGTAGTATGATCAATCGGAGGATCAGAAGATTCCATTTTATCAGGATGATTATAATAGGAATGTGTTATACTACTACTACTACCACTACTACTACTATTATTACTACTATTACTACTACTGATGATGCCATTCTGACCATGACCACTATGATTGTTATTATTACATCTTAATTGAGCTATTGTTGTTGGTTGACAATTAGTATACAATGATGTAGAATGAAAATTTGTTACACCATCTAGCGGATTCGGTGTAGATTGTAATTGTGCATTGTGCCATTGGATAAGTGCATCTGTCGGAGAATGCTGTTGCGGTTGCTGCTGCTGATGATGATGAATGAGATTGGATGTTGATGATAACGATGACTTCATGTGTAATGAGTCACATTTTGTATGATTATCAGTGTTGTTACTTGTGTTATGATCATTACTAGAAGAATGACTGTAAGCTAATTCCGATGAGATATAATTAGTGTTAGATTTTTGATATCTACCATATTTCTCATTCATTGGATTATTATTCACCAAGCTCGTCGATGTATGTTGATTGTATGAAGAATCAATAGGGAAATTCATGACATTCATTGGTTGAGATGATGGTTGTTTCTGAATATACGGCTGATGTTGTGGTTGTGGTTGTGGTTGTGTTTGTGGCCGATGATTCTGATCCATATAATGCGAAGGATGCAATTGTGTTGAATGAGGTGATGATGTAAGCGAGAAATGGCTATGCAATAGATTAGAATGTCTATTATCACTACTATTATTGTTGGTATGATTAGTTAAACCACCGAATGTAGCATGAAATGCTTTTGTCACATTAGTAAATTGTCCAATCTGATCATCATCAGTAGTATTAGTAGTAGTAGTATCTCCGTCAATTTTCAATAAATCTTTATGTTTGACGTCATTATTAGTAATAGTATTATTATTATTATGATTAGTGTCTGAGAAATAACCCGTTAAATATGGATTACACATCATCGCAGGATTTGGTGAATTCGATGCAATAATCTGTTGTGTAGTATGTGTTGTACTAGTGGTACAACCGAAATGATTAGCAGCTGCAGCGGCTGCAGCTGCTGCGGCCGCGGCTGCTGCTGCCGCAGCACCAAATCTATGCAATGGTGTAGTTTTCATCAAATAATCCACTGGTAAATCAGATGATAATTCAGTATAGAAATCAAATTTATGTTTTTTAGTTTTTTGTGAAACTTTACGATTACGTGTTTGGATGCCATCTTTTTTCATTGATATTGGTCGTTGAATCTGTATATATTGAAGAAGGGAAAAAAAGAATGGGGGTTAGTATTGTGGTGCGAGCTACTTATAAGTAGTATATGACGCGAGTGTAAACGTAATAATGTCTGGCAACAGAAGATGGGGGAAGATCAAGAGAAAGGAAGAAGAGTGGGGGAACACAATGGAATTGGTATGAAACGCATGAATAGTAGTGACAATGGATTGATGTTGTTTGCAACAGGAATAGTCCAGTTCGATATGATGAACTGATATTCGGCAAATGAACGATTTACGATATGGTTTTCCGATTTTACTGAGTAACTCTGTAATTTTCGTTAAATACGATTCGGTTGTCGTCACCTGTGTTCTCGTTCACTACAGTATGATTAGGATAAAGGTCCAATTGAAAAAAAATTAACTTCTACCCTTCTGGAGCCTTTCAAGGGTTATTGCCGGTCCCAAACCCAGAATATAAAGGAGCAGGGTTGGGTTTGGGGTTAGTGTAACAGGTGTAAGTAAGGTAACAAGAAAGACCAAAGAACACTAAAGATTGGAATCAAACATGAAAAAGGATGTAGAAAAATTAGAGAGAACTGGAAAAAGAAGGCTTATGACAGAGTAGATTGGAGAATGTTGGTCTGTTGTCTATGCTCCATTAGGGGTAACAGACTTTTAACTGAATTTAATTTTTAATTACATATAAAATGTGCTCACTAGTGACTAGCTAGTTTCATGAAGAAATTCTAAAAGTTCTAGATGAGAAGACATTATGACCAGTGGAGTTCAACCCTGTTCAGATGTAGTCAGTCACCTATCAAAGACAAATAAATGGGTGAGGTCGTGCAAAAAATCCCTAGATCATCAATCAGATTTAGACACATTAACACTGTTGGATACCGACTAACTCAGTGATTCAGAGTTTAGGCACTGACGCATAAAACCGAAAGTCCCGCGTTGGAATCCTGCCAGTTGCAGTAATCATGAATGCGAATCACTAATGAGTCTCACACTAGTAAAAAAACAGAGTGGTTCAAGTGCTTGCAGGTTTCTTCTAACGGTGATCGAACAATGATTGATTGATTGATTAGGTAATTTCAAATGTGCGATAAACATTAATCTTCCAGGTTTCTAATGATGGTCTAACATTGATCGATTCATGGTTTCAAAAAATGTGTAACTTGGCAATCTTCACAACAACCTCGTAATGCAAATTACATGTGCTCACTAGTAACTAGCTTCGTGAGGAATCTTCTCCCATGAGTTCTAGTGAGAAGACGTGACCAGTGAAGTTCAACCTGTTCGGGTGTAGACAGTAACTATTACCGAAGACTGTGTATGAGGTTCCACAACTCCGTGAATTGATCGAAAGTTAGACATTAACACCGTTAGATACCGGCTCAATGGTCTAACAGTTAGGGCGTTCGCGCATAATATCGAAGGTCTCGGGTTAGAATCCTGCGAGGTGCAGGAGGAGTCGTGGATGCGCACTGCTAAGAAATCCCATACCACGACGAAACGAGCGTCCAGTGCATCCAAGTTTCTAATGGTGGTCTAACATTGATCAATTCATAGTTTCAAAAATGTGTAACTTAACAATCTTCACAACTAACCTCCATAACTTTCTAATTGAAAACATGTATAAAACTACCCATTCAATGATGTCAATGATGCTTATACTCTCAATCCAACACTCCTATCTGAAAAATTAATGTTCATGTGTGTGTGAGAGAGAGTTATTTAATATAAAAAATTAATCTTTGAATAATAAAAAAAAGAAAACAGTTTGAGAAAAAAAACACTCAAAAAAATAAAATAAAATATCTTAACATGATATGAAAGATATTTTTTCTTAATTTTTATAAAACAAACAACAGCAACCGGAAAACGATGTCTTTTTATGCTTAGAAAAAAAATTGATAACTTATCAGAAAAGTTGATAAAGTTAGAAATTTTTTTCTCTTCATTTCAATCATCCAAAAATTTTTTTCAAAGAAACCGGAATCAATTATTCATTTTGACTCATTGTTATCATCTAAACTAACTCACTAACTAACTGACTAACTAACTGAATCTATCCAGATATCATCTATCTATCTATCTATCTCACTACTTACCTGCAACATTATTTACATGAAAAAAAAATCACAAATAAAAAGAGGGGAAATTATTGTG